GAACAGTGAAATTACTCCCAAGATATTAGTAACATAACGTCCTCCTTCTAATATAAAAATGACCCAAGCAAGTCATAGTGTTCTTGCAAACCACATCTGCTAGTGCTTTTCCTTCTTCTGATCCAATTTGTTGCGCAAAAAAGTTAGAATGAAGTTCTTGCAAAGTAAAACATCTAAAGCATTTCACCTTTTGATCCTTAAAAAATATGAAAAAGTCAGTATATAGTTCTTGCAAAGTGAATCCACTAAATAACAACAAAACCACAAATGGGATAAACAAAGAAGTCTACATCAGGGTGAACTTCATGTTCAGAAGATTGCCTAAACGACGTGAAATTGATGACAGGGAGTACCACAAGCGGCAAAAAATCTACATCTACTATAATACCGAAAACAATGAAATGACGACAACACAATGATGTGGTACACTCAAACAACGAAATCTGCATTCACAAGCGATGAAGCTGAAACTGATATCTAAAGCAACAAGTTTACACTAAAAGTTCCAATGACGTGATGAACAAAATGACTCTAAATCGGCGATTTCAGCAATGTTGAATTAAAAAGAAAAAAAAAAATATTAGTTCCTACTTCTAATCCAAGTCTATTATTACTAAAATTCAAGGAAGTCAACGTGGCCTTTAATAATGGTTTACGAGTTCAAATTTATGTCGATTAAATCGAATCCAAAGAAATTAAATTGGAATTCTTGCTAATGAGTTTTGCCAATGAATCGACTGTTTTAACTTGAAATTCAATGTACGTTAAACGAAATTCTAACGAAGTAAGAGTTTTTGTCAATATTCACATGGGACCTTTATCTGAAAAGTTCTTTTCTTGGAATGATAATCTTCATGTTGCTATGTGCCCCACTCCGCACACAGCAGTCGTGATCGTTCCATTAGCCATCACATCCATCTATCAAGCTTCAAGATTCGGTGTTTTTATAAAGATAATTGGTTATTGGTCTACTTTGAAATGTTGTTTCATCAATATAGAGATATTTAAGATCTTTAGTAGTTCAAAGAAGCATCTCAGTTAAAGCTCATATGGCGCCATTTGGTGCATCATTAGAGTATCTTAAATTTTTAAATATAACACGGTCACCAAGGCTAAATTTTTGACCTTGTAAACGTGTTAAAGAGTGTGATGGTTTCAATAATACTTTAAATAAAACCAAACCTTAGTTTGGATTAATTTTTATTTTGTGAAGAAATGATATTATAAATCGTTATCCAACATATATCTCTTGGAATTTTTTGAATACCAACTTTTTTGAAAGAATTTTTATTAGTAAATTCATCTGCTGCTTGTTCCATTTTTGCTATTGCTTCCTAATAACAGTATATATAATTAATTCTGCTATAAAAATATTCGTTGATAGATGTGATATAGCTTGTATATTTGAATAGTTCACTTGGAAGAGTTTAAACTTGTTTAACATTGCTCGTTCTCTAGTATTATCATTAAAAGCATTGTTTTTATAAATTTCTCTTTTCAAATGATTCCCTACACAAAAATTGTATAGTAATTAAACACTATTGATAGTTGATCGTGCATATCTATATAAGTCTTTGTGCTTGCATGTTAGCAGATAAAGGTAATTGAAGAACATAATATTACTCAGTGAGTAATTTAGTTATTGTTGAAAAATTTTTGGAAGAAGGGAAAAAGAAAAATGAAAGTTATCTATCTTTGAAAAAAAATATCAAGTATTAATAAGAGGTGAATTTTTATTTTGGTATTTATAAAAGATCATATGGGCGATTTTTAATCAGCATAGCGGAAGTTTGTTTTGATTGGCTAAAATTAGGCTATATATGAGCCCCACTAGAGGTGCAAAACTACGTTTTTGATACTTACTTTTTTGATACTGATCGACATGCAGATCCTAGTAAAAATAAAAAATTCAAAAACTTGAGCGAAGATATCTCGACAACTACTTGCTTGAATCTGATAAAACCTTTTGCTTTGAATTCTATAGATTCATGAAATTCAGATAAAAAAAAAATTCATCGAATTTAACCACATAGTTGTTAAGATAGCTTCGCTCAAAATTAGAGAAAATTAAAATAACTATTAAAATAGGGAGTTGTTATTTCCACCACGGTAAATTGTTATTTCCACCATGGTTACACAAGAATTTCAATTTT